GCTGGCCCCTCTCCCCCCGCTGAGAGCCACTGATGGACCGAGGGGGTTGTGCCAGGGTGGGAACTGCGAGATTCCTGGCAAGGACGACGCGGAGGATTTCCGCCGGCTGCTCAACACCATGGAGGTGCTGAGCTTCAGCGTGGATGAGCAGAACAGCATCTTCCGCATCCTCTCCTCCGTCCTCCACCTGGGCAACGTCTACTTTGAGAAATACGAGGTACCCTGCAGGGAGCCAAGGTGTGCTCTCCGGGCGTGGTTCGGGACGTGGCAGGTGTGGGGGGTCATCATGTCCCACCACGTCCCTGTGTCCCGCAGACCGACTGCCAGGAGGTGGCCACGGTGGTGAGCGCCACGGAGATCCGGACGGTGGCTGAGCTGCTGCAGGTGTCCCCCGAGGGCCTGCAGAAAGCCATCACCTTCAAGGTGACGGTGAGTGCAGGGGGGCACAGGCAGGGAGGGGGGTCTCTGGTCCCTGGGGACCATGGCTGGTGTTGCTAAAGCTCCATCATGCTGTTTCCCAAACAGGAAACGCTGCGGGAGAAGATTTTTACCCCTCTCACTGTTGAAAGCGCCGTGGATGCCAGGTAGAGGGAAGGGGGGCTGTGCTACTGGGGGGACACAGGGGGATTGACCCTCAGGAATGGGGTGGGAGGTGAAATGCCAGCTGGGAAAAGAGGTGGTCAGGTCCCCCAGTGTGGATTAGGCTCTTCAGTGATTAAAACTCCAGCCCTAAGGGCTGCCCTGTGCTGTGATGGGTGCTGGCCACGGCAGTGGGGATGTACACAGTGCCATGCCATGCCATTCCAGAGCTCCATCGCTCTTCTCCTTCCCAGGGATGCCATTGCCAAGACCCTCTACTCCCTGCTCTTTGGCTGGCTCACAGACCGCATCAACAAGCTGGTGTACCCTCGGCAGGAGGCCCTCTCCATTGCCATCCTGGACATCTACGGCTTCGAGGTGAGCAGGATCCATCCCAGCTCCATCCTGGCTCAATCCCTGCTCCATCCTCCTGGAGTCTCAGGCTCAACAGACCTTCCTTCTCGCAGGACCTCAACTTCAACAGCTTTGAGCAGCTGTGCATCAACTATGCCAACGAGTACCTGCAGTTCTTCTTCAACAAGATCGTCTTCCAGGAGGAGCAGGTGGGTCAGTGGGCAGTGCCAGGCTCTGCCCCCGGGCCAGGGGAGAGAGCTTATGTGTGACCTGGATCTGCTCCCATAGGAAGAGTATCTCCGGGAGCAGATTGAGTGGAAGGAGATCCCCTTCAGTGACAACCAGCCCTGCATCGACCTCATCTCCCAGAAGCCCTACGGCATCCTCCGGATCCTGGATGACCAGAGCTGCTTCCCCCAGGTGAGAAGTGCCTGGTAATGAGACAGCAGCACTGGGTGATCACCATGGTTATGGAATCACTGTGGCCCAGGGGTGCTCTTCTCCTGGGCTGTCCTGGACAACCTGGGAGATCCTCTGGGTTTCTCTGGACTGGATAAGCCCCAAGAATCATAGAATCATCATAGAATCCCAGAATGGTTTGGGTTGGAAGGCACCTTAAAGCTCACTTAGTTCCAACCTGCTGCTGAACTGCCCAAGCTGTGTCTCACCCCTGTGTCCCTCCCCAGGCCACCGACCACACGTTCCTCCAGAAGTGTCACTACCACCATGGGACAAACCCGCTCTACACGAAGCCCAAGATGCCGCTGCCCGAGTTCACCATCAAGCACTATGCAGGGAAGGTGACCTACCAGGTGTGTGGCAGGGGGATGCCCAGCTGGGGTGTTAACCAGGAGGTTGATCCTGCACCAAGCAGGGAGGTGCAGCACAGGGGGGTCTGGCTGGGACCCCCCATCCCAGCCTGGAGCTCCTCACCTCGCCCCATCATGCTGCCAGGCTCCTCACCATGAGATTTTGCTCTTTGCCAGGTTCACAAATTTTTGGATAAAAACTATGACCAGGTCCGTCAGGATGTGCTGGACCTGTTCATCAGCAGCAAGACCAAGGTAGGGCCCTGCCTGAGCCTGGTTTGGTGGTGACACAGGTTGCTGGTGGCCATACATCCCTTTTCATGTCCCCAGCTATGTGTCCCCATGACCAGTGAAGCCAAGGGGGACCTGAAGCAGAAGATGCCTCTGGCTCCACCCTGTGCCCTCCTTTCATGGGGTCCTCTGGGCTTTGACCCTTCAAGCATTTGACACAAATGGGCACATGGGCTGCTCTTACGCTTTGTGTCCTAATCCATATCCTCATCCCCATCCCTATCCAGGGAATCCAGCCACAAACAGGGGATGCAGCTTGCTTAGAGCTGGGCAAAAAGGCAGTGGCTGGGCTGGGAAGAGGAGCCAGGGGAGCTGCACCATCCTGGCCACCTTCCTCCTCACTAACCCTTTCCATCTCCCCAAGGTGGTGGCCAACCTCTTCTTTGGCCATGCCCAGGTGATGGCCCGGCAGAGGAGCCTCATCCGGAGGAGCAGCACGAGGACACGGCGGTACAAGGCTCCCACTGTGGCCGCCCGCTTCCAGCAGTCGCTCCTGGAGCTGGTGGAGAAGATGGAGAGGTCAGAGTGGGTGGAGTGGGCAGGCAGGCCATGCACTGGGCTGGTGGGGACAGGGTGACAGTGGAACTTGAGCCCGAGGTGGCTGGGCTGGCTTTGTCCTCTGTCCTCCATGGCTAACGGGGTCTCTCTGTTGCAGGTGCAACCCCTTCTTTGTGCGCTGCCTCAAACCCAACAACAAGAAGGTGACAGCCAGGGCTTTCCAGCCTGCAGTGATGCCAGTGCTGCCTGCCCCGCTGGCACTGGGAGCATGGTGGGAACACACTGAGCAGGGGTTTGCCCAGGCAGCCACTGAGGTTTCTCCCCATTCCCTCCCCAGGAGCCAGGGCTCTTCGAGGCTGACGTGGTCAGCAGCCAGCTGCGCTACTCGGGCATCCTGGAGACCATCCGCATCCGCAAGGAGGGCTTCCCCATCCGCATCCCCTTCCTCGTCTTCATCGACAGGTGCCCTGGGGCTGTGGGTGGGGTACTGCCATATGGTCCAGTGAGAGGAGACCACAGAGCTTGTGGGTGTTTTGGGGGGCAGTGTTTGGGCCAGGGTTCCCCCACAGTGGGAGCTGGGAGCCCCTTGCTTTGATGCACAGCTCCGGGAGAAGCTGCATCTCCAAGCATGGTGCTCGTCACTGCAAGGAGGGTCCATGCTGGGGTCCCAGTAGGGTCCTGCATGGTCACAGTGTCATGGGCTCACCCAGGTACCGCTGCCTCGTCGACATGTGGTCCAACATCATTCCCAATGGAGCCAACTGCGTGGAGATGCTGAGGAATCTCTGCACCGTTAACCCCGGCATGTACTACGTTGGCGTCACCAAGGTACTGCCCCAGGAGGGGTTTTGGCTCCAGTGGTGCCCTGGGGGTGGTGGCCAGGGCAGGGGGCTCATGGCATCATCCCTGCTCCCAGCTCTTCCTTAAGGAGCAGCTGTATCAGGCACTGGAGAGCAAGCGAGCCCGTGCCCATCACCTGGCCGCGCTCACACTCCAGCGCTACGCTCGCACCTTCTTCATCAAGCGGCGTTTCCGCTCCCTCCGCCGCAAGATCGTCCTCCTGCAGAGCCGGGCACGGGGATACCTGGCCAGGTGGGGGTCCCCAGGGGGCGTCAGGGGGGCTCTGGTGGGTGGCAGAGGGTGATGGGTGGCAGAGGGTGACGGGTGCCCTCCCGCAGGCAGCGGTACCGGCGCATGCGGCACACGCTCATCAAGTTCAGGTCGCTGGTGCACATCTACGTGAACCGCCGGCGGTACCTCAAGGTGAGGTGGGGGTTGGCACATTCCAGGGGTGTCCTGGGCACCTGCTCCCACCCTGCTGCATGTTCAGTGGTGGGTCTGAAGAAAGCCCCCCCCAAACCCTGAGCCCCTCCAGGCCCCATGCTACCACCTCCTCCACGTCCCATGGGGCACTGATGGTACCTCCTTGTGATGAAAACCTGATGACATTTGGGGAGACAGTGGCACCCCCCAAGTTCCTGCTGCCTCTGGGTCTCCCTCTCTCCCGGTGGGACTCAGAATGGCTGCTCTGCTTGCAGAGGAAGGAGGATGCTCGCCGGCGGGCTGAGGAGGAGAAGGAGAGGATGAAGGAGGTAACAGGCGCTCAGCACGCATGTGTTGCTGTGCCCTTGTCCCTGCCATGTGCTCGCCCACCGAGGCACCCATGGGTGCTGGCACAGGGAGCAGTGTGGTGAGTGGGCACATCCCTGTGCTGCGGTGGCAGGAGCTGACACGGAGGGAGGTGGTGGATGTCACCCACCTGGAGATCCCGGCCGAGCTGATGGGGCTGCTGGAGGCTGCTGCAGGTGAGCGGGTCCTGCGGTGCCATCGCCCCCAGCCCCTTTTCCCCATCCCTCCGGCTGTGCCATAGCTGCCCGCTGTGCCACAGCCGCCCAGGAGGTGAATGCCGGCTGCGTGGTCCTGGTGCCACCGCCGGCACTGCAGCCCGACTCCAAGCTCACCCTCCCGCTCGACATCAACGACTACCCCATGGCCAAGTACGTGCGGGGCCACTTCCAGGTAAGGTGGACGCCGTGGCCCAGCAGTGGGGAGCCTGTCCAGACAGCTTTTGGGGGGTCCCCGGCACCCCGGTTGTGGCTGAGCGTTTAGAATCAGGGTCCCTGCGGCGGTTCCCCACACCATCCCACCGGGCTCTGCCCCAGCTTTGGCCCCAGGGACGCCACGGGGAGCAAGAGAGGCTGGATCTGGGGTGGTTGTGGTACTGTGATGAGCTGGTTGCCACCTCCCTCCCTCCCCGTGGGTTCCTGTCGTCTCCAGAGGCCGGGGGGACCATGCTGAGGCTATCGGAGAGAGACCCGCTGAGCCCTCCTGGACGCCCGACGCGGGGCGGATCCGGAACGCTGGGGCGGGAGACCAGGTCGCTTGCTCCCAGGACCCCGGCCCCATCCCCGGCCACTTTGCCCCATTCCTCCTCTTTGCCCTCTATTTTTGCCCTGTGTTTCCCTGTCCCTGGCGTCCTGAGTGGTAGCACCAGGGCTGGATCCTGCTCTCAGCCTTGCCAAAATGCTGGCATGGAATCATAGACTGGTTTGGATTGGAAGGGATGTTAAAGCCCATCTCATTCCAACCTCCTGCCATGGGCAGGGACACCTTCCACCAGACCAGGTTACTCCAAGCCCCGTCCAACCTGGCCTTGAACATTTCCAGGGGTGGGGCAGCCACAGCTTCTCTGGGCAGTCTGTGCCAGGGCCTCACCACCCATCTCTGGTGCTGCCAGCACAGCTTGAGCCCGTCCCTTCCCCGTTCCTGACAGGCTGCCAGCCCCATCCTGTGCCCCAGCCCTTTGGCCGCCCCATAGTCCCCATCCAGCATCAGCACCACGCTCAGCACCCTGGGGCCGGCCCCTCGTGGCCTGAGGCTGTCCCCAGGTAGCCACGGGTGCGGGTGTCGCCGCAGGAACCGGCGTTCGGGATGCTGACGGCCCCGCTGAAGGCCCCCCTCACCCGGCTGGATGAGGAGCTGTGCCACGAGGCACTCAGCATCTTCCAACTGGTAGGTGGGACGGCACAGGATCCATCACCGCGATCCCCTGCCTGCTCCCTGCCTGGGGCCAGAGGGAGGACCTGGCTGTCCCCGTGGCAGATCCTGCGGTTCATGGGGGACCCGGGGCTGGGCGGCCTGCAGGAGACCCTCTTTGGCAACTACATCGTGCAGAAGGGGCTGTCAGTGCCAGGGCTGCGGGATGAGCTCCTGGCACAAGCTGCCAACCAGGTCTGGCGGAACACCAACGTCAACAACGAGGAGCGGGGCTGGCTGCTGTTGGCCACCTGCCTCAGCGCCTTCCCCCCGTCCTCCGCCTTCGACAAGTACCTGCTCAAGTGAGCCAGGGATGGGCATGGGGATGGGGAGCAGGGATGGCTGGGACCCTCTGGGACAGACTGGCATTCATGCCTGGGGACATTGCTGTGGCTCTTCGGGGCACTCTCCGGGTACCTGTGCCTGAGGACACTGCCCAGGTCCAACCAGGACCTGTGGTCCTGTGCCAACTTGGCACATGTGCCTGGGGTGCCACCCAGGTCCCTCCTGCAGCACCGTCCCTTCCCCACAGGTTCGTCTCTGACTACGCCTTCGCTGGCTACAAGCCGGTGTGCCAGCGCAAGCTGATGCACGCCATGGCCCGGTCCCAGCTGGGCACGGCGGCCGCCCGCACCTTCCCGCCCTCGCTGCTGGAGTGGACGGCGAACCGGCAGCAGGCCAGCATGGCCCTCGACCTGCACTGCTTCAACGGTGCGGCTGGCGCGGCACCGGGCACGGCGGTGGTGAGGGGCGGTCACAGGGTTACCACCCTCACGGACAGGAGGGGACTGATGGGACCAGCTCACTGCCCATCCCTCCCCAGGTGACCAGTTCTCCTGCCCCATCCACTCCTGGAGCACGGGCGAGGACCTGGCAGGGGATGTCCTGAAGCACAGGTAGGCACTGGCTTGGCACCCACGGTGTCACCCCAGGGCTGTTTTGGGTGTCGCCAGGATCGGGGAGTCGGGATGCCCAGCTTGTGGGCAGGGTGTCCCCAAAAAGCTGGGGCACTGCTGGTAGCCCCTGCCCATCTCCAGCATCTGGCTCTTGGCAGGGGGCTGGCAGAGGGCTGGCGTGGCTGGTCTGTGGCCATGAAGGTGGGTGCCCAGTGGGCCGAGCTGGCTGGCCATGACTATGTCCTGGACCTCATCTCCGACCTCGAGCTGCTCCGGGGCTTCCCCAGACAGAAATCCTGCTTCCTCATCGCATGGGATGGGACTGAGAGCCTCGGCAGGGACAGCCGGGTGTAGGTACCTGGGCAGGGATGGGTCGCCCGCTGTGGGGCTGGTGGGATGAACCCTGGCACCAGGCTGGATGGGTGCTGGATAGGGGTGGGTGGGCTCCTGGAGGAGGGGATCTGGCACCTAGTGGGTGCTCAGTGAGCACATCCTCCGTCTCTACAGGGTGCTGGGACATGGGTTGGATTTGGATGAGGTGCCTCCTCCCCCAGCTGTGAAAGCCCCCACGCTGCCCTCCACAGAGATGTACCACCCCCATGGTAGGACATCCTCCCCCTGGCCCCAGTGCTGCAGTGAAGGTCTGCTGTGCTGGTGGAGCCCTGCTGCTGGCAGCTCATTCTTCCTTGTCCCCCTGCAGATGGGGAATTTGGGGAGCCACGCAGCCAGAAGGGTCTGGACCGGTACCTGGACAGCCTCTTTGATCCAGTGCTCTCCTACGGCAATGGGGTGAGAGGGGCATCCCCCTGCCCAAGGCATTTTGGGGTGCATGTGGCTTGGCTGCCTTACCCTGATTCCTGCCCCCCCAGGAGCTGGAGAAGCCAGCCATCCTCTCACAGAGGATGAAGGGAGGAGGTGGCGTGGGAGGGGGGGACAGTGGCAGTGATGCCAATCGGAGTGGACTCCCTGTGCCTGCAGAGATGCGTCAGCCAAGAGGTGAGCACCCCGAGCACTCCCACATCCCACCCCAGCTCCCTGCCTCAGTTTCCTGGCCTGGTCCCTGGTGGGGGGGACATGCCTGCACCCAGGACCTCACAGCTGATCTCTCCTCTTTGTCATCGCAGGCACAGAGCCAGCCCTGTCCCCGCAGAGCAGGCCAGATGCCAACCAGCCACCCGGACTCCCGGTCAGTGCCGGGGGGCTGGGAGGGGTCAAGCTCCTCCTCCGCTTCAGGGCAGCTCCCTTGGGCAGCCCCTGGGGATGGGTGCAGCTGGGGGTGCTGGGTGCTGATGGCACAGTGTCCCTTGCAGGGCAGAGCAGCAGAGGGGACACCACCCCGCACCCCCCAGCCCCGGCCCTACTCACAGAAAGCCGGTAAGGGGTCCTGGTGCAGTGGGGTGGCCATGGAGACCCGTGGCACCGAGCCAGGGCCCAGGTGTGGAGGCGGTGTCCAGCCCCCCCTGAGCCATTCTTGACCCCACAGCAGCTGTGGGGCGGCGGTGGCCAGGAGAGCTGGTGCGGCATTCCCGGCTCAACTCAGAGCATTTCCCACGGCCCACACACGACATCCGGAACATCATCCGGCAGTGCCAGCCAGCCCTGCGCAGCTCCCAGGCCCCCAGGTACCCACCTGGGTCCCCAGCCAAGCCATGGACACATGAGCAGGTCCATGTGCTGACCCTGATGCCAGGGTGTAGGGAATGGTGGGGTGCAGGGAATGATGGGGTTGCAGGTGATGCCAGGTACAGGTGATGCTGGGGTACAGGTAATTCCAGCATGCAGGTGATGCCAGGATGCAAGTGATTCCAGGTATAGGCAGTGTAGGATGCTGTCTCTGCAGCAAGCTTTTTGGGAAGAAGGTGGACCCCCACGAGGAAGCCATGCAGATCCTGAAGGAACAGCTCTCGGCAGCTCGGGTGCCAGCGGCTGTGGTAGGGATGTGGCTGCCCCCATGTCCCCCCTACTAGGCTGGGGGTGTCACTGGCTCTGACCACAGCCCCTCTGTGCCTCACAGGGGCCCAAGGAGGTGGTGGCCACAGTGAAGCCGGTGCCCAGTGCCAAGTACCAGCTGCGAGCACCCACGGGGCGTCCAGCAGCCACCCGGCCCCCAGGTATTGCTGGGCAGAGCTGTGGCCCTGGGGGGGGCCAGGGTGGAGTGGGGCACCTCATCCTCCTGGTGGCACTGGGTGATGCCTTATGCAGCCTGGTGCTAGTCCAGCTCCACAGCACCCTCATGGAATAGCCACTGTGTCCGGCTCGACCTGACAACTGCTCCTCGTGCCTCAGTTTCCCTGGGTGGAGGGGCCTTCCTGCAGGGCTTTCTGTCCCTTCACAGTCTCTGTCTCTCGGGAGCTCCCATCTGAGGCACAGCAGGTCCAGACCCAGCTGCACCGGAGCTGCAGTGAGGACTTCTACACCTACCACAACGTGCCCTGGAAAATATTCATCCGGAAGGAGGTACGGATTTATGGGGACACTCAGGGGCAGGCTGGTGCTGAGGTCCTAGAGGGATAAAGGGGGCTTTTCACCAAGCCCTGTTCTCTCTCCTGACAGGTTTTCTACCCTAAGGACAGCATCAACAACCCACTGCTGCTCGACCTCATCTTCAGGCAGGTGAGGCACCAAGCTGGCCCCTAAGCTCCCCCAGGGGTCCCCTGGAAGCTGAGGTATTCCCCAGTGGGGTGATGGTTCACTCATCCCACCGCATATGTCCCATCTTCCCCTGCTGAGCTGCCATGTAGGAGCTGCCCCAAGCCAGGGGGAGCGGGCTGGGCAGAGGAGCTGGGGTCCCCCCACGCTCCCTGGCATGACCTCACTGCTCCTCACCCCCTTCCCCAGATCTTCAATGACGTGCTGTCTGACACCTGCATCCGGATCAGCCAGGAGGAGCGGCTCCGCTTGAAATCCCTCTTTGGTAACCCTCGACCACATCCCTGTGTCCTGCTGCTCCCTGCCTGGGGGGGTTCATACACCTGGGGGGCTCAAACCCAGCCTCTCTGGTGCCTAGCCTCATCTCCTGGGGTCACGACTGGCTCTGCTTAGAGCTGGGGTAGTTTTGCCTCCAAATGCAATGACCCCCTGGTAACTTAGTGCTCCGTAATGTCACGAGTTCTGTCAGGTCTCAGCCAGTTGCCGGGGGGACATGGGTCTCTCCATCATGTTCCTGCCAGGTGTGGGAAGGCTATGATCATCCCTGCTCCTGCTGGGAACCATGCGTGGATCCTTCCCAGAGAGGGAGGATGCTCACCAAGAGGTATTTCCCTCTCCCCACAGCGGAAAACAAGCTGGACTCCTTCAGCCCCGTGGCCACCGAGAGTGTCAAGAGGGAGATCATCGCTGCAGCCCGGGATGGCTGTGAGGTGTATTTCTCCCGTCTCTTCCCTGCCACGGTGAGGGTCTGGCTGTGGGGTAGGTCAGCATGGGGGCCACCATGGCCCTGTGCCCCCAGCTGAGGCACTGTCCTGGCCCACAGGGCAGTGTGGGGACGGGTGTGCAGATCCTGGCTGTGTCCCACACCGGCATCAAGCTGCTGCGGCTGGTGAAGGGCACCAACGTCCCCGGGGAGCAGCTGCGGGTGCTGCGGGCGTACAGGTGGGGGTGAGGAGTGTGGGAGGCTGGGGTGGGATGGGTGCCCTGGGTGCTGGGTGTTTCAGCCTCCCCTCGCCCTGCCCCAGCTACGCCGACGTGCTCTTCGTGACCACCCCATCCAGGAACATGCTGGAGTTCAACCTGCGCAGCGAGAAGCTCATCCTCTTCTCCCCCAAAGCCCCCCAGGTCAAGGTCACGGTCGACCACTTCATCACGGAGCTCAGGAAGGTGGGGGGTGCCCTGGGTCCGGGGTGAGGGGGGGCATGTCCTGGGGGTCAGACCCTGCCTGTGTCCCTGCACTCGGGGGGCTGGGGTGGGCAGTGGAGGGCACCCTGTGAATAGGACCATGTATGGAATTGGGGGGGACACCCTGGGGTGGTCCTGGGGCTGCGGGTGCTCGAAGCCCCTGTGCTGGGTGGGATGTGGGTGTCCCTGTGTGCAATGGCTGTGCCAGCCCCTGCTGTGCCCAGGACTCCCAGTATGTGGTGGCTGTCAGGAACTACAGCCCAGAGGATGGGGGACAGCTCAGCTTCCACAAAGGGGACATCATCCACCTCCAGTCGCTGGAGCATCCTGAGAGAGGTGAGAGGCCTCCACACTGCCCTCCACAGCGAAACACCCTCATAGGGGTGGCAGGACTGATGGCTTCACCCGCCCCAGAGGTGGTCGTGTACTTGTCTTGCACCCTGTGACACCCTCTGTCCCCATGGTGTCAGACTACTACTATGGCTGCGTGGTCCGCAAGAAGGTGATGTACCTGGAGGAGCTGAAGACAGGCACCCAGGACTTTGGTGAGTGCCACGCTGCCCCATGTTTGTCCCTGGTGTGCCCTGAGCTGTGTCCCTTCCTGGGGCTGGGGGATAGGGCAGGATCCTCAGCAGGATGGTTTGGGATCTTTTCAGCACCGACCCAATGCAGGGGGATGCTCCCCTGTGGGTCCCACCCTGAGTGGCACCAGGTGCTGCCCATGTCCCTGCAGGTGACGGGCTTTGTGGCCCCTCTTCCCTGCCTTTACCTCAAATGCTGCTGAACTGCAGCTGCTTCCAGCCAAAATCTGTGGCCACACCTCTGGAAAAGGCTGGGAATGCAAAGGCAGGAGGAAGCAAACAGAGATTTTTTCGGGGTGTCCACCTGGGCTGCCAGCC